AGGGTCTGTTTCACCCAGCCCGGAAAGTCAGAGATGTATACTGGAAGATTTACAATTCCATCTACATTGGTTCCCAGGACGCTCTCATAGCACATTACCCAAGAATCTACAATGATGATAAGAACACCTATATTCGTTACGAACTTGACTATATCTTATAACTTTATTGTTTATTTTGTGTTTAATGCACAGCTATTCACACTTAAACTTGCTTTTATTTGGTGATGTAAACTTTTAAACATTGCAGATCAGTATAGAACTGGTCATAGAGGAAGAGCTAGAAATCCAGTAGCATGATTTTTAAATAACCTGTCTTTGTTTTTGATGTTAAACAGTAAATGCCAGTAGTGACCAAGAACACAGTGATTACACACAGTATACTGGAGGGATTTCATTTTTAATTCATCTTTATGAAGATTTAGAATTCATTCCTTGTGTTTAAAGGGAATGTTTAATTGAGAAATAAACATTTGTGTACAAAATGCTAATTTGTGTGTGTTTTTTGAATATGACTTGTAAAATGCGGAAGTTTGATAAAAGTATTGGTTTGTGTGGAATAAGTGGCTAAATTTTATTTTCTGTCACTTGGTTTATAGAAAGTAGCAGAATACAAACTATATACAATGATGACATCTTTGTCAAAATTCCATTGTTCTGTTGATGACAGTGAGAAGAATAGCTTTGGGGGTGTTCCCCTCAAACTAGCACAACCATTCCATAGAAAAATAGCACCTTTACTGAACTGTCTTGAATAATAATATTTTGTACTTACATAGCGCCTTTCATCTCTTGATTTCTCAAAATGCTTTCTGAACACGTTTCAAGGATATGACCTAAGTCGTCTCCAACTCTTGACAGGTTTCCTGTCTTTAGAAAATGGGGAAGATAACTCCAAAACTGCCTTCTGTCTGTTTAGAGTGAGGCTACCTAAGTAATGAGCTTTTTGCCATGTTATAGGCCACTAAACAATGTATTCAGTCAGTAACCTTTTGAGCATGTACTTTATGTTGGCCACTGTGCTGAGATGCAGGGGGCGGATACTTGTCTTTCACCCTTAAATGCAGTATAACAGAAAGGGGAGAGATGTGCTGTGATAATACACAGTGGCAGCTAAAATGTTTAGGCTCGCTTTGCTTTATTTTCGGGAATTAGATACTAAGGTTATCTAAATGACCAGCACAAACTGAAATGCCATTTAGTTCTAGAGGAACTAAGCATTAGGCAGCACTATGCTATTTTTTGGCAAATGTTTTAAGATTATTTTCAGCCTTTAATGTTTTATTTTATGGCCCCAAATTTCTCATGCTATTTTTACTCTTTTATCTACCTATGTTGGTATTTCTGTGAACTCTAAAAGGAAAAAAGAAAGTTCTACAAGCAGTATTAGCATATGGTGACCCTGCTACTGTAAAACTGTTCTGTGGGATTAGGATATTTGTGCCTCATTACTGTTAACATTTGGGGGTTTCTACTTTGGAAGCTTAGATGAAAAAGAGCTTGTAATTGGATGATTTTTAACAAATTAATACTAATCATAAACTGATTTTTCCAAGCAGATTTTGTAGTGCCTTATTATTTCCTATGTGACATAACTTTCTGAAAATATGTCACTCTGTGGTAAAACACTAAGGCCAAAACCATCTTTCTGTTCTTAGAAGTTTTCTAGCAGTACCTCACATGCAACTTTAAATCTTGCTGTTCTCTATAGTTGATCTCAAATGACCTTTAGTAATTACTAATAATGGAATACATCAGATGTCAAAGCAAAAACTTAATTATGTTTTATATTCAAGTACTTAAGTAGCTTCAGTTTGCTTAGCCCCTGGCTGTTTGTGGAAAAAGCGCCTTTCAGTAGCAGTATGGAGCAAAGGAGGCTACTCCACCTTAAGTGACTTACTGGTGCAAATGACTTGAGGATAAAGAGGAGGGGAATACTGAAAGTTATGACCTACAAAATTGGGACCAAATAGAGGCTCACAGATGTTTGGATTATTTTATGTGTTTATTAAATAAGGAAAGCATTTTGTGATGTGTGAAAGACGCTATGTGAAGTTAATCTTCTCAAAGACCTTTCCTCTGGTATTTCTTAAAGCCAAACGTAAAGCAAGAAGAAATTGATGTACTTGTGGGGACAAAGGGTGGGTTTTTCTGTGGGCTTTTGTTGGTTTTTCTGTGGGCCATTGTCCCCTAATGGAATTGATCTCTTTGGCTGTTTGATTTTTTTCATATTGTATTTTTAAAATTTGTTGTACGGTGCCCTGTGAGCATCAAGAACCACCAGATGAATAAAACTTACTATATCTAAAGTCTTAGTAGACCAATTTTTAATCTTAGTTGACTCTGTATTTATCACGCTACACTGTGTTGTGGTTGTGCCATTCTAATACTATTGAACTCTTTGGGTTTTCCAAACAAGGGAACTTAATATTGAAAACCAGAGAACTTTTCTTCATTAAATAAGAAGCTTAAAAAAACAATCGCAGTCATGTAAGTTCACTTGTTTGGCACTTTGGTTTCTAGTGGCTCTTAAATCCCATACAGTTAAAAGAAGCAAAAACTGCAGCTCCTCAGAGTTTTTCAACCGGTTAGCATCGTTGACCTTTTGAATCAGATAAGTTACTGAGGGTGATGTACCTACCACCTCTGTATTGTAGGATGTGCAGCCTCATCCCTGACCTTTGTCCACTGCACCAGTGGCGTATTCCCACCCCAGTTGTGACAACCAAAAAGGCCTCCAGACATTGTCTTGTGTCTCTTGTAGGGCAAAATCTTAAGTTGAGAACCACTGACATAGCCTCAAGACTGTTGTTTAGAAGGGAATCACATGTCTAATAACTAAAGCATGTCGTAGAAAGTTTTTAATTTTAGGCAGTAGTTTCTTAGAAAGTAACCAGAAATACTGTTTAGCAAATAACAAATCTACTTTGAATAAATCTCCATATAAATCCTGGGGAAAGCGAGCTGTGAAAGTGTGTAAGATGTCCCTTTCTGGTTCTCATAACATGGTGTGACACAGTTGGAGTCAGGTGCCCTGCTAGAGCAGAAGCACCAGAGGAGACTGGATGCTACCCTCGGAATGAGCTACCCTGTGAGCTGGCTGGCAATAGAGGTGGGTCGTAAGATATAGTGGGAGTGCAGGTGTGGCAGGGCCCAGAGACCCTTGTCTCCCCATCTAAGGGATTTGGAGAGGGAACCATAGATAATTTGACTAGGTAGAGCATTCAGCTTTATCAGGCAATTGAGACTGATAGGAGGGAGACAGTGACATCTCTAGGGTTTGTGCTGGAAAGACCAAGTTTTAAAATTCGTTCTTAATACTTTTTGTGGATTCTAAATAAATATTTTTTATAAAAGGACGTACTTGGACATTGTGTTGGCTACTTAACGTTTTTAATAGCCTAATAGTAAATGCTTTGGAAGGAAATTTTTAACAAAAAGTAAGCTGAGAGAGTTTGAGGGGCAGGATTTAATTCAGGAATCGTTATCCTAACAGGGCTTTGTGCTGGGAAAAAAACCTGGCCCTAACTAAACAAATGTAAGACTGAGAAAAGTTGAAAGAATAGTATAAGGAGCACCCATATACCATCCATCTAAATTCAGCAAGTAAAATTTTGCTACATGTTTTCATTTTATTTCTTTTTTTTGTTTGTTTTTATTTATTGCTTTTTGAGACGTAGTCTCAGTATGTCGCCCTTGGCGTCACAGCTCACAGCGACCTGACTCTTGGGCTTAAGCAATTCTCTTGCCTCACCCTCCTGAGTAGCTGGGACTACAGGAACCCACCACAACACCTGGCTATTTTTTTGTTGCAGTTGTCATCGTTTAGCAGACCTGGGCCGGGCTCGAACCTGCCAGCCTTGGTGTATGTGACCGGTGCCCTACTCACTGAGCTATGGGTGCCGAGCCTGCTACATGTATTTAAATACTATAAATTCACAAGGGTTTCCAATAAGAACAGGACTGGAGAAAATACAAGGTGTACTAAAGGTTGCCATACATACATATATATGGAAAATGGCAAATTGTAGCTAAATGTACCTTTACTTACAAAATATTCATTACGAAATTTTGCTAAATATTTCTGTCCATGTTGGTATATAAATACAAAAATATTAAACATGTAAAAATATATGATGGATTTGTTAATTTTTCCTATTTATGGCGATCTTTGGGACACTGTAGAGAAGGAGGCTGATGAGTTTAAAGCAGGTGACTGCTTGAATGAATGATGAGGTGGAGCGGGGATGAAAGTCACATGCATCTGGCAAGATTTCTTTGGTCAGGAAAAGCAACATCTTTCCGGAGTCCACAAGGAAAGAGATAGGAAATAGGGTGAGATGTAGGTATGAAAAGTTTATCCATGGCATATCAAAGGTAAAAATGATTTTATTGGTACTTTAGGAACAAGGAGACAAGTGAGGAAAATCAGACTTCTGCAAAAAATGCATACAAAAAGAACAAATCCTGGTATAGTTTACTACTGATATCTTTGTGAGATGTATAATGTGTACCTGGTAAAGTTTAATACTTGGTGTGTGCTCTGTATGGTTTTGATCACAGACACAATATAATGTATCCATTTGGGAAGAAAATTACTGAGTACCAAGCTGATCACCAAGGAGTGTTTGTATGTTACATGTCTACATCATTAGGTTAAGTGTGGTCTGGAATTTTTTTTTTAGCAACACATATTCTTAGGCTGCACCTCAGACATAATGAGAAGCTACATTTTAACAAGATCCCCAGGGGATTCAATGTTCATTAAAGTTTGAGAAACACTGATCTAGGACACCATTTTATTCCCAGTGCCGAAATGGTACAGTAATAAAAGGGACAGAAGTATCTCTTTGGGTGTGGAAGCAAGTGGGCCTGCAGCCACAGCAAAAAGGTAGAATACCTCCAGGAAGGTACTTTGCTAAAACCTGGCTGAAGGAAAAGGGAGGGAACAAGGAGATTTTTTTTTTTTATAAAATCAATTGCTTTTTCCAATAAAGCAGATTAATGTAGTTAATAAATCCTACAATGTCCACATTGTTTCTCTTGCTGCTGCCTAGCTGACATTGGTTGTTGGGGAACCTCGGATGGGAAGAGACAGAGGCTCACTCTTGCTGTTGGTATGAGCTGGCCTGAGGGAATCAGCCTGTTGGGAATCCGCACTGCCCTCTGCTGTGCCCTGAGGGAAAAGTAGAACAGGGAGTCCACAAAGCATAAACTTCACAGTTGGCCCTGGAATTAGTCCTGGATTTACAACCTGGACATGCCACTTACTGGTTGTGTGACCTTTCTGTGCTTCAGCTTACTAATTTGTAGAATGGGAATAATATGACACGTGTAAGTGCTGGTGCACGTGAAGATTAACTGGAATAATTACATATGGCAAAGTGCTCAAGCGTAGTGCTTAAGACATTTAACAGCCGGTGCTGTTGGTATAGTGTATTATTTTTATTACCATGAGGGAAGAGACCTCTTTTTGTCATTGCTGACAATT